AATCTAAAATTTTAAATTTTCAAATGTCTATAAATAACTTAAAAATTGTTGAAATATTTTGAAAWTTTTATCAAGTAATGAAATTGGTAAAATAAATATAGGGAGTAAATTTTAGATTTAAAATCTTAGATTTAAAAAGATAAATTCTTATGTGTTTCTAACTCAAAGCAAATTGTGATTTTTTGTGATTTTTACGTATTTTGTCAAAATTCGAACTTCCAATGCTTATCAACAAAAATTGTGACAATATATTTTTTAACTACTACTGTGGCAATATATTATGAGCCTTGTATTAAATTTTGAAACAGTTTTACCCAATGAATGAGATTTTATTGTAATTTATAAAAAAAAAAACTAAAAATACTGAAAATTGAAAATGTCTATAAATAATTTTAAAAAATTTGAAATATTTTGAAAATGTTATTATGTATAAAAATGCCAGTGTAAATGTTCAGTGATAATTTCATGTGTCTACGGTAATTTGTTTTATAGTTACACCAATATCTAAAATCTATTTTCTTAAAATTTCCTATATTTCAAAATTTTTTTTTGTATTTCCGGTGCTTTTCTCAATGGAAAAGTTACTGAAGTTGAAAATATAAGCATTATTTCGACAACTTATAGTGTACTCAGACATAAAAAAAAAAAATCAAATAAATATATATAAAAATATACATCATTGTAAAATCAATACATTTATCACTGCTCTCAGAATTTTTAAGTTCAAAAGTTAAGATTAACTTATMTTTGTAAATAAGCCTTATGACTTACCTAACCTAACCAAAGAAAAATGTGTTATTTTTTATGCAGTTATTTAACGCATTTATCAGCAAGAATTCACATAAAACATTTCACAATATTTGCATACATATACTAAACGGCTACGTGATAATAATAATGGCGGAGTAAAAATGTTAGAAATCCTGATATTGCGCGAGACACGTGCGGATTAGATTTTAGAACAATCGTTTTAGTGAGCAAAAGAGTTTCGACATTTACACTGTTGTGCAAGTATTTACATACCAATGATTACGTGCTTAACATCGACATCAGATAAATTTTGAAAAATTAAATTTGTCATTCAGKTAGGTGCTCAGACGACATGTTTTGCTGGAATTTTCTCCTTTCACGTTTCTCTTTTGGAGTACGCCTAAACCAGAAAATGCGTACAAATTGTGAAACTTGTGCAAATGCTCGCTAATATTTACACATTTTTCCCGGTTGAGGTGGAGTTGGAGACATRCGCATACCAACGACTGCAGACAGCAACATCGTTTGAATTCGACATCAATAGTACCGAATCCAAAACTATAGGTACGTTTTTTCATTGTAATTATTGTTTAATTTGAGACTATTACAGTCGCTCAAAATATGGTTACATCGACGTGTCATTGATATTTTCAGTTTTTGTAATACATTAAGTTCTATTCCGTGAGTCACACTTCGTACCACATCACGTGCAAAGGCATATAAAATAGGTATAAATAGGTACCGCATATCGCATGATGTGTGATTTAGTCTTATTTTGTTGTTGTATTTAATTATTTAATTGTTTGGACTATGACGTTGAATAGGCTCCCACCATTTTGAAAGGGAAATCCTTCTGTTAAAATTCGTATAAAAATATATTGTTATGGACTATTGAACTATTATAATAGGCATTATTATGTATTGCATTGATTAGGCACATGTGCGTTTTGAAAATTTTATCATTTTCTCACGTTGTTAGTATAAAAAACAAATTAATTAATAGGTACTTTACTAATTTTAGATTATGAGCGGAACGATGAATATACTGATTTTATAATAATGTAATATGTTTTTTCATTCGTATATTAATTTTAATTTTAATTTTTTTCGTGTTATTTACACGA